TCCCATCTACAAGACAAGAACAAATGTATGTGAGAAAATGTTTTTGCGTAATTTGGCTCAACTGAAAAACTTAAAATTCACTTGAGGTAGATCTCACTCACTTACTGTTCTTTCCATTGTGTCTGCAACTGTATAAAACATAAGCAGGTCAGAGGATGTGCGGTCGTGTGTATATGGACCAAACTATCCCAATGGGAGTGCAGAACACTGCAGAAGTAAATTATATTATTCCCTAGAAGAAGATGTGGATAGAGAGTTCAGGAAGGTTTTGTAAAACGTATCACATGAAGTCACTTAGTGCTAACAAACCCACAGTGAGGCTGGTTTGTTAGGGAAACTGGGGTGTTGGTAATAAGATCATTAGGTAATTAGTACGCTCAGGACAAGCTACTGGGATGTGACCTTTCCCTGTCTCTCATTACTTGCACTATCTCAGCAAATCTCACTACAACATACATTAATAAAGGGAAACCATTGAAAAATATAAACGTTTAGCCAATATGTGTGTCATAATTAATAATAATTCAACCAACCAACAACAAATCAAGCAGTCAGTGGCTACAGTCGGGAGGCAGAGAGAGTGAAACGACACAATAGTACTTCTAAAAGAGCCTGTCAGCTCAGGTAGCCGGCCTGTCTGTTGTTGACGGCTGTGTTTGATGGGGAGTGGCTGCCACTGCAGCTATTCTCAGCCTCAGACAGTGACAGATAGAGCCTGGAGAAAGAAACACAGACAGACAGGCAGAGTGACAGACAGACAGATGGTAGAAGCAGCAGTTTGGGTTTCAGTGCAGATTCCCCACAGACTGTCTGGGTCACTGCAGACACAAAGGTCTTCCTCTCCTCTATGCTTTGTGTACAGAGCCCTCTGTCCTTCTTAAAATAGAGAGGAGGAGGAAGCCGACAGAAACGTGTCAGACTCAGTATCAAAGACGAGAAAATCGCCTGGAGGTATTGGTGAGTGTGTTGTCTACATTATGTGTAACCATTGCTTATAATGTTAACCCCTAAGCAAAACAGCAACAGCTAAACATCAGAGAATCTAACAGTGACAACTGATGTGAAACCATCTGACGCCAGACAAAATCATCTGAGCAACTAGCATGCCTAGCATATTTCTTTCTTCTGCTTTCCCATTCGCTTATTCATCTTGTGCCCCTTAAGATCTATCTCACGTCCCATCGTTTTGGCCCCATCCTCCAGGTTGGGAGCCGTTGCTTCAGATGGTGCAGGTTGTTGGCATCCTGGCCTGAGCAAACGGCCCCCCCTTGTGGAACACCTGCAGCATTTTTTGGAAGATTTCATGACGTAATTCAAAAGAAAAAGTGCCTTACCTTTGCTAAAGTATCAAATTCAAGTAAGTCTCCTAATTCATAAATTCAGACAATGATTATAAGAACAGAATAATTGTGAAAAATGGGTTTATCGAGCTGAAAAAAGAAGCTGATAAATTAAAAGCATCAGAACATCTATGTACAGTTCAGTATTATAGACAGATTTCTTGTAAAACATTATTTTATCAAAAACTCTGAGACATTGACAGCTTTAAATGAAAGCAAAGCATTTTATTAGATGCAATATTCAATATTGAAATACAAAAGGCACTGAATTCTTTTCTCCTAGCACAATGCATACAGAGATGTGTGAATGAATACAAATCTTATATATTATATAATGGATGTAAGATCAAACTGTAAATTAGACCGATGTCCGTTGCAAGAAATCACACAAACTGTCTTGAGTATGCAATTGTTCTTTAGGAATGCTAATATGTTACATCTAAGCTGATGTTTTAAAACAGTACATCAAATAAACACGTATGTATGAATGTTTTTCAATGTAAGAAATCACATACAAAATATACATCAATACACAAATAATTTAGAACTTGGTGGTAGGTGGCTGCAAGGAAGACTTTCGAGAATCATTTTAAGAAGTGAAACCATCTATGAGAAACAGTAAAAATGCAATACCTTAGCTGCATACTGGTGATGTTGAGACACTGGTTCTTTTTAAAGTAAGGTAAGTTATGGCAAGATTACACCACTCAAGTAGACATTAAAGTCAGATACACATCAGGGCCGTAAAATCTAAGACCGAGATCTTTTCTGATTATTCCTAAATATTCACACTAGCTGATTTCTACACTGTTAATCCTCATTTAAAAATAAGATGTTCCTCCCCCCGCATATACTGTTAGCAGGCTCAGCCTATTAAAGGAAATAGCAAGAATTGGTGTCAGTCTGCTCGAAGTAAATACATTTATTTTATTAGCAAAATATTAAATTTTTTTGTCAGAATTACTTTGGTTTCCTAAGAAACAACTATTGAGCAAAGCAGTGAAAGATCAAAGATGTAGTTGAAGCTGCTTCTGTAGTCTAAATTAAAGCAGAAATTTAATTTACTTGAAATTGATTGACCCAAAAGACTTTCATTATTCACAAGCGGATGTGATCTTTATGGAGAAACTCTCATGTGATATCAAATACTAAAATATACAAATATTATTACTAATCATAGTAATTTTTCATAAAGATCTTGGGACGTTTTGGTTTCAGACATAAGTTGTTGTTGTTTGTTTTTTTTTTNNTTTTTGGGGGGGGGGGGGCAATTTTTCCCCATTGAATAATTAGCCGCAGATGAGGGGAATATTATCAGTAACATATTACAGTTAATTGCATTCATTACAGTTATTTTTCTTTCTTTTAAGACTGAAATTTGCGGCATGCAAGAGATGGTTTGCCAAAAAAGTGCAATGAAAAAGAAGAAATGCTTTTGAGACAGAAAAAAAACAACCAATCAATGACAAACAGAAACACTTCATCTTATTTATATTACAGGATCAGGGTCCACCATCAGCGTGGAGAAACAGAAGCGTACTGCACCCACATGAATACACATGAGCAGCATGCCAGTACACGCACGCACTCACACACATTTACTTACGGCCACATAATACACTGAAGAGCATTGCCAAAAAAGTGCACACAAAATATACAAAGCCAGGACACTGGAGCAGCAATGAGTCAACTTCATTAATGCTTTCAACTCCAGAATGCACTTGATGTGTGACTTTCCCCTACACTGCTTTTTACACCCAAACAGAGCCAGAAGAAGTCACTCTGTGGGAGACATGCTGAGAGTGTAAAGCAAAGTTAATATGGGGAATTACATGTGCAATGATAGTGGGGGTGAAACGAGGGAGGCTAATAATGTAGCCTCACCTAGCTCAAGGTCTATACAATATAAGGTTAGATTATCATTTGCAGCTGCTGGCTCCAAAAGGCAGAGGCTGTTACCAGAGTCACAATAACTTCCTGCTACTTTCATGCCAACCAACAAGTTCTCAATGAACCTGAACTTCCTGCTTCATTCCACTTGTTTCCGCTTTTTGTTTATAATGTAAACCTGATAACATATAGACCTTGACCTGTTAAATGGAGCTCAGCTCAGTCTACTCTTAGTTTCCCTGGAAGGCTCCCTGGGCCGCGGAGGACGCTGCACCGGCAGCAGCTGTTTGGAAGGTTTTATTCGTGAAGACTCCCTGTGAAAATTCCTGCTGGGCCTTCTGGAAACTGGCCCCGGTCCGGCGGTACATGCTGTGGACCTGAAGAGAGGTAGAGAGAAGTCGTGACCAAATGGTAGCCGAAAGGATACATTGGTCAGTCTGTCCACCACTACGGTCCAGACGGAAAGATCTCACTAACAGTTTTGTACAGACATTTGGAACAAGACGGAGTTGAAAATGACCTGAAAAAATCCTGTTCCATTAGTGTAATCTATGAGTCATTGGTTATACTTTAACAATTAATATCAAATGGTCAAATAGAAAATATTAAGAAAAGTGAAAGAAGTCTCACCATCTTGAGCAGGATGACAGACAGCACAGCGCAGATGGTGAAGAGGATGGCCACTATAATCATGATGGCTCCCACTGCTTTGTTTATGCTGATGACAGTGAAGGCAGCAATCCAACCACTGCAGTCAACAAACATCATTAAGTTTCAGGTGGTCTTATAAACAACTTAACTTAAACATTATTAAACATTTGTATACATGTTAGATACAGGCACATACAGTACACAGGTAATCTAGATGAGAGTTGGGTTACATTTGTGGAGAGAAGAAGGTGTTAAGGAGAGGCAGAATGAAGGTTGCCAAATGTTATTATTAATCAATAATAAAGACAAAGGATGTATTATTATAACGTGAATATATGCTCTTCAAGATCGAATAAAACACATTTCAAAGTCTGGGTATATTTTCATATTAATATCCTAAAAGTTTCAGAATATGTCGTTAAATTTGTGCTGCTTTGGGATTTGCACTTCATCTGCAAAGGAAAAACTACAAAACAATAAAGGGTCCCCTTGACTGTGTCTGTTCTGACATTATGCAAAATGCCATGATAAAATGAGAAATATCATTATAAAATGGAAAAGGGGACATGAAGAGCAACTTGGACAATGGTCATTCTGGAACATGCCATTTTGAAATCAAAGAGCTTTTTTTAACTTCCAGAGTCCTTCCCAGGTTCAAATATAACATCAGACACACAACTAGGAGCCTTCACATGTCAGAATAGACCCACACATAACAGGCAGAATCACACACGTATAGGTAAGAATGTTTTTATAGTATTAATCAGGATAGGAAATTCAAAAAGTTAATATATTGTAGCAACAATAACAGAATTAAGGTTTTTGTGAATCTCAGAACAGTTAAATAGTCAACATCAAGAGAATGTAAAGGATGTGATGAAGTACACAGCAGATGTAGGAAGGAGCCAATCCATTTAAAGCCTTGTAAGTCGGACAAAGGATTTTGGATCTTGCTGATCAGGACAAACATCAAGTGTTGAATGACCAAACGTTTTAGATCATCTAATTTGTCCGTCTGTATTGGGTATGTTATGTTAGAATACTTAATATGTGGCTCAAAAGTAAGTAAGTAATGTAAAATATCCAATGAAATAACGAATATTTGATTTTACAACTCAAGATTAAAGAAGATGTCAGTATGTATCAATATGCCACAAGCTTAGAGATAGCGAGTGACCTTAACACACAGACACAAACACTGAGCTGTATTCAAATGGTTGCAATCTGCAACTTCACCACTAGATGCCACTGAACCTTACTAGGGCTGTCAACAAATATTCTAAATCTGATTATATAACTGATTTGCATAAAATAACGGTGGGGAAAAAAAAGCTGCACTACCACGGCTGTCTATCTTGCAATCTGTTGCATGGGCCTGTGCGATTGCACTGCGTTACAGAAAGGAGTCACGTCACTTTCATTGATTGAAAATGAAATGGAAAAAAAGGGACAAAATCAACAAGGGAGGAAGAAGATCAAACAAACTACTGTTGCCATTGTTACCACGGTATATAGTAAAGCTGGTATACCGACACATCTCTAGTGTGTAACCCATCAGTTTACCACTTGTATTTTTTAAAGTCAAAATACAAGTTTATCAGGACAAAGACAGAAGAGACTGCGTGTTGGCAGAACGTAGCAGAGTCAGTAAGCAGAAACTTACAGAGTTACCAGCAGACAGAGAGGCAGCAGGCTAGAGGCTGAAGGATGAAAAGTCTGTCAGAAGAGATGAAAGAATGCAGAAAATGAGGAAAAGAGGAAGGACAGCAGCCTATAGGCCAGCTGATTGGTTGTACTGGTATTAAAGGGAAGAAACTACTAGTAAACGAAAAACTCCTCCAAATCAATCAGTAGGAATGTTGAAATAAGAAAATACAATTTGTTGGTTTACCAATTTATATATTTAATTTGGTGGTAAATTCAATGAAGGGGACTTGGAATTGGGCATTTTTAACTTGCTCATGCTACATTTGAATGCACCGTATACAATGTATGTATCACCCGTGATCTCTGAAGACACAATCCAAATCATTTAACCTTTAACCCACACGTCAAAACTAAACATTCTGTGACTCACCTGTTCCCCCACCTGGGGATGCCTACAGACTGGATGATGAAGATCACCACTTGGCAGAAAAACACGAAGAAGAAGAAGAAGAAGCTGAAAGAGCTGTCAGTCCTAAAACACAAGAAAACATGCATTTCACTTAACCTTTTACACTTTAAACTATTGTTGAGGTTAGTTTCCCTCGTCAGATAACTTGTAATAAGGTACAAAGAATATAACACATAAGCTAGCCATGTAGATAAGTGAAATATATAATATCTTCAAGGGTTTTCTTCAGGTTACATCTTCTTTGGCTTAATATGCAACACAGGATAAAACAATATGCCAGGAAGCTCAAATAAAAATGTATGTGTTGCTCATAATTACAGATAACTGGTTGTCAGGAAACATAATAGTTACATTTTCTTCTCACACTTACGTAGCACTGATTTCAAGCAACGGTAAGTATTATTATGCATGTTATAGAGTAATTAATCAACTGATCAACTGGAGTGTTACAAAGGCCACGCATACAGATTCTCAGCAACACAGTGTCATTCATGAAGTGAGACTCACTTGAAGGCCTTGTAGACGGGCCGGTACCAGCAGAGGAAGGAGCAGGGAGCGAAGAGGATGAGCCAGAGGATGGAGAGGCCAAAATCCACACCATAGCTCGCATTAGTGGTGAAGTAAGCCAAACAAGCCAACAGGTTGAGGAACAGAGTCATACAGTTGACTGAAGAAACAGTGGAGAGAGATAAGGATCAATGAGAATAATACGATTACTAATATCTGCATCATCTTTATTTATAGCGGAAACAGGAACACCTCCATGGCAACTACTGATGAACTTAACACAACTTGTAATAACATTATAGTAATTGTTAATAAGCACTTAAGAAACACAGTGCATGGTAAGCAGTACAAATAACACATTGGAGATGATATAAACAGAAATAGATGACATGTCGTATTTAGTAAGGATTAAATAGCAGAGAGCTCAAAACTTTCTCATAAACCAAGTGAATGAGATATATATATATAAATCTACACAAGTTAACAAGTAAACATTCTTTTTTTTTTTTTTTT